AAAGGGGGTTAATATAGGGGATGATAAGGGGACGACTATTGGAGTTATTAAGGGGAATACTAGGAGTTTAGACTATAGCTCATCTGGCTAAAGCGACTATGTAGGGGATTTGGGGGAAACAATTGCCTGAATTGCTATAATGCGGTTCCCTACACACAGCTCTCCCATTTCCGAAAGCTATTTGCAGGCCGCATGGATACAATTTCAACTTGGACCCTGCAACCTGAAACCCGCGAAGGCCCCTGAGACCCCACCCAGGACCCTCGACCCTAAGCTGCACTGCACTTGTGAGAACCACATGGGGGGATGTCAAAATTATGGTCCCTTGTTGGCAACCACACACATCCATGTAGCATACATTCCAGGATTGAGGATCTAGGTTCTTTTGCACCACTTTCGGTCCGTGACCTACAATCCTATTTGTTTGGCGAAAACAGGGCCGGAAACCCTTCAACCCTACTTTGTGGAACCCTGGGCTTACTGGAGCCTACTTGTAAATGGCTGCAACAGGGCTGTACTGGCTTGCTGGCACTCTTGTCTAAGCTGTCCAAGATGATCCCTCAATGCAATTCTGGCCTCTCAGTCCCCCCCTCCGCCACTAATGGAAACTACCATGTGGTGGATTTTCCAGAACTAGGGGGTAGCCTTTGGGGGTTTAGGGTGAATGAGAACATGTTGGGCTCTATATTGGGGTCGCAATTTGCGCTACCGCGTGTGCCCAAATATGTACTGCGCTGATGTAGTCTCTGAAAATGCGGTGCCAAGGGTTCCCGGAAGTCCCAAAGGCAGCCTGTGCTTAAGGGAGAGTGGATGGAAAGAAGCCTGAACCCTAAACCCTCAACCCCTAATATAGTGGCCTAAATAATTACCAAGATTATGTAAATGATTATGGCCTATGGTACCTCAAGTGGACCTCAAAATGATATTGGTAGTTATTTAGACAAATTTAGGCCCCTGTAGTAGGGTTCAGGGTTCCTTACTCCAGCCCATGCGCCGACAGCTTCATGAGCCCTACATTCCCATGTAGAGACTTGTCCATATGGGTTAGCATTACGGAAAACCCAAGGGCACAGCATCAAATGTCGATTTAAACACCTCCTCTTGAGAATAAACCCGGCACCCCAACTCAAGAAGAAATCTTCCCCCTAATCTATCATGGTACTACATTTGGGGTACTCCTAAACCCTAAACCCCTAAACTTTGGGCGCAGAGTTTAGAAGCTTCCACCAAACCTAAGCCTTCACACCTCGAATCTGCCCTCAAACTCATGGGTTGCCCCCTTCTGTACTACCCGCAGGGCTCCCCCCCTTTATCAAGCTGATGTAGGGATATAGGGGTTTAGGGATGTAGGGATACAGGGATAATTTGGCCCACTAAGGGGAATCTAGAAGGTTTGCAGGTTGTTGGGGAACCCATGAAAAACATGCATAGAAGGATCCCTGGCAGTTGGACAGCTGTTGCTCCAACGTAATGTTAGAGGGATGTACGTGTGGTTCTATGTACTATGCCGGATCCTGAGGCAAGCTTGTGCGAGCGCGGCGGAAGAACACTTCGTTTCCCGATTTTGCCACTCAATCTGTGGCAGGCTATCTGCGAGATAGCAGAAGTTTGAACCTGGGTCCGCCAGTACCTTTTTTTTCGCAGTTTGGGGGCGGTGGTTTCCAGATTCTTGGGTCATGCTCACAAGAGCAGGAGCAACCCAACGTCATCTCAAAACACCGGAACCGGCGAACGAGTAAACGAGGGAATGAGAGAGAGAGAGAGAGAGAGCGAGACAGAGCACGCTAGAGCTAGTGGATGGGGTTGCCGTATCAAACACCTGGACTCCAACCCTTTGCACCCCACCTGAACCATAATTCCTAAGCCCTAAACCCAAAGCCCAACGCCGTTCAGGCTTCAGGGCTTAGGGACCCTAAACCGCAAAGCCCAAAAAACATAAACCCCAGACCCGGAACCCCTAAATCGTAAAACCCTAAAGCCAAAGCCCAGCCCAACGCTACAGGGATCATTTCGCTTAGACGCGTTCTTGGGGCACCTTCCATCCTCACATGGCACCTGACCCCGGCTTTCTTAAGCATGTGGGGGATTCCCAAGATTAGGGGTTTAGGGTTTAGGGTTCAAGATTAGGGGTACCTTATTGGGGGTCCCCATAATAAGGATTATAGTATTCTGGAGTCTAGACTGGGGTCCCCTCATTTAGTGAAGCTACCATGTGATGCATACCCGAACCCAATGTCGATTCAAGATCGTCCATTTAACGGTACCTCAACAAGATTCAGAAATCCTTGCGCCTTTGATTTCAAGCCCTAAACCCTAAACCCTAAGCCCCCTAAACTCTTTCACATAACGCTCAATCGCTACGCCCATCAACAAACCTCGAGTCCTGGGCCGGGCCGGGAGCAAAAACGGCTTTAGGGTTTAGGGTTTAGGGGTTTAGGGTTTTAGGGTTTAGGGTTTAGGGTTTTAGGGTTTAGGGTTTAGGGGTTTGGGGTTTAGGGCTTCTTTCTGTACTCCTGAACCCCCCATCCATGACGGGAATGCAGATCAGGAACTTTAGCTAACTTATCACCATCAGGAAACCCGATCATCTATTATGTCACCATATTCAGTTTTACCTTTATTTACATTCCTTGAGATCTCTGAATAACCCAGCTGCCATTTTCTTGTTCGGCGTGTTTCCATTGGATGTGTCATTATCGCTCCTAAGCCCTGACCACCTAAAGCCTAGATTTAGGGTTTAGGGTTTAGTATAGGGTTTAGGGGTTTAGGGTTTAGGGTTTAGGGCCTAATCCCCAGGCCCTAAACCCTAAACCCTTAGCAACTACGTAGATAAATCCCCACCTCCTGGAATCCAAGGACAAGTCTTGCTCACGTCAACAAAGCAGCTCAGGAGCAGATTCCTGGACTTTTTTTTGGGGGGTGGAAGGGGGGGGGTGGTGTTGGGTTTTAGGGTTTAGGGTTAGGATTCAGGATTCAGGGTTTGGAGTTTAGGGCTTAGGATTCTGGGCTTAGGGCTTAAGATTCAGGATTCAGGGTTTGGGTTTCAGGGCTTAGGATTCAGGGTTTAGGGCTTACGGTTTAGGGCTTCGGATTCAGGGTTTAGGGCTTTTTGTTTGAAAGGATTGGGGTTTATGTTAGGTCACTCGCCCTACAGTAATAGCGCTTTAATATACCTACAATAGTCCTTTTTGGGTAAGGGATTGACCCCAAGGTTTAGGATTAGGGATTTGGGTTTATGCTTTAGATGTCACGGTTTGGGGTTTTCCGGGTTTAAATTGAAGGTTTGGGGGTTCCTTCGGGGCTGAAGAGGTTGAAATTGGGAAGGTTCCATGTTCCAGAGATTCGGTAAACCCTCCTAAACCCCTAAAAGCCCTGAACCCTAAGACCCTAAAACCCCTAAGCCCCTAGACCCTAGAACCCTGGAGCCTGCATCGAAGCCCGCAGCCGTAAAATGACCCGATGCTGATCTGGGTTGCTGTTAAGTAGCGTAAGTTCTGCTGGGTTTAGGGTTTAGGGTTTAAACAGGGACCGCTTGTTTACTATACGTCCGTATTGCGCTTATTGTACTGGTTCTGATTAGAGAAAAAGGAATAAGATCTTTGTAAAGTACCTATATAATATGTTTCCCTTATTCCCTACTAAGAGCTAGTAAGCTACATAAGTTTAGTTCATCAAGGATGCCTGTTCGTCTGCTTCAGTGTCCTGCATGTCGACTTCAACCGCGACAGTGCAGTCTTCCGTGCGGCCACAAGCTGTGCCAGGACTTAGGGTTTAGGATTTTGAGTTTTGAGTTTAGGGCTTAGGGTTTAGAATGTAGGGTTTGAGGTACACAAAAAGAGGGCCCACTTGTGGTTAGTACTTTGTGGAAAATGAACAGAAAGGAGAAGGGAAAAAGACATGGAATCTGAGGTGCTTGGGGATATTTAGGCGTTAAGGGGTTCCTGAACACGGTTTTTGGTTCTTGCTTGCTGTAAGCTCCCTAAGACACTCCTGAAACATACCTTTTTAGAGGGTTCTAGGGCAGACACACAGAGGAATGCACCCGCGCCAGCAAGAAGTGCTTCATGTGTGGGCACCTGCGGAGGCACGAGTTATAAAAAACAACTCAACCTTAAATACTAAATCCTAAATCCTAAACCCTGAATCATAAATCCTAAATCCTAAACCCTGAATCCTAAATCCTGAGTCCTAAATCCTGAATCCTAAACCCTAAACCTGAAGCCCTAAACCCCAAAAGCGGAGGCAGGAGTTTGATTACGTGGAGTTGCGCAGCAGCACGGATCCACGCACGTCAGAACCCCGATCCAGCACTGGCGGCAGCAACGCCACGAATCCCATATCAGGCTAGGCCAAAAGAAACTCTAGGGGTTATATTGGGATACTTGAAAAGAAAGTGGAAACTACCATAATATGGTTAGGGTTTAGGGCTTGGGGTGTAGGCCAACATAAATCCTAGGTGTTCAGGGAGAATGGACAAGAAAATGGAAGCTACTATTAGGGATTAGGATGAACAAGCTGGGCATACTTAGTACATTTCCCTATAAGCCATAGAACACCCTAACCTCTGTGGGCCCCATTGTTGCCTACTTACTAATTCCCCTTGGCTCGAAACCCTATGACCTAAGCATCATAGAAGCTTCAATCTTCCTATCTTACTACGCCCGCTGGCCCTCCGAAGAGGGTCTAGGGCTTGAGAGGCAGTTTGGGTTATCAATTTAAGGTTTTAGG